GAAGGGAGGGCAGGGACAAGGGGAAAAAATGAGAACCAAGACCTGTCACGTAGAGGTGCAAGATCCCAATGATGAATGTAACTGTACTGTATCCCTAAAGTGTACCAATAAACTCAATAAAAAGAGAGGAGGAAGAATGTTACATGTGTTGCTGTCTTCACCCACGTGCTAGTTAGTAATCAGCACAGGACTAGGGAAGTAAAGCATAATTTCATCCACTTGGGAGCAGCCGCGTGACCCTGGTCAATTGAAACTGAAAACCAGTGTGCAGCTCAATAAAGTCTGCAAGATAAGAAGGCAGGGGAGAAAACAACTATTAGAATTCTCTACGCAAATGGACCCATACTGTAAGGCAACACAGAGAGCTCAATTTCCTCGCTGTCAGTATTGCATGATCCATACAGAAAACAAAGAACTAAGAAGACTGAGGGTGCACAGGGCGTTCCTCCTTCTGGAGGAAGAATTAATGGGTCGGGCCGGGCAGCTTGCTGCAAGGAAGCTGGACTGTCCCCCCACCCCTGTGTGTGCTGGAGGTGATCCTAGGTGTTTCAGAGGGAACTCCAACTCCTGCACAGCCTCCTCCGTGTGCTACAAGGAAGCTAGCTCAGAAGTAACTGCCAATCACAGTACCTGGAGTAGCTTGAAATTTAGGACAAATGTATTCATAATTTCATTGATCCCTAAGAAGGATTTCACAGATGTAGGTTTTTCTTAAAACAGATTCTTGGCTTCCAGGTGGTACAGGGTGGGCAGGAATGAAAGACAGGCATTCAGATAGCTGTAGCAGGACCGCATCCTACTGTGTCCTGAGAAAAGTGCCCAGCAACCCAAAGCAGAACAACCATGCATACTAGGGTTTCCTGATGCCACAGGCAGGCATCTGTAGGAGGGAGATGGCCACTCCTGGACAGGACGGCACATGGTGCACTCATGCAGGGTGCATGCATGAGGGAAGGTCAGTGGGCACTCTTGGGATGTGCCCATCTCTGTGAGCCAGGCAGCACACACTAAATCACTGGCCTTCTAGCTCCGGGGACAAGCAATACCCAAGGTGATGGTGGCATAAATGACTCCTTCAGGCACCTGCACCCATCTAGGGACACCAGCAGGGAGCGATCCGCCAGAGTGACCTGTTTGGCATCCAGAAGCACAGACAAAGGCGAGAAGAGAGGGACAGGTGAAGACAGGGATACAGCCAAGTGCAGAGACTCAGATGTGGAAACATGGCTGCCTGTCTCCCAGAGGTTAGTGCCGGCCCCTCAGAGGTGTGACTTGTGAGGACAGGAAACAGCCCAACTACGGATATCATTTCCCAGGCCCTTTGATATCCAGAGGCAACAATGTGACTTGTCACTAGTGGAATATGGGCAGAGCAATGCGCCTTTACTTCTGGCTGGTGTTTTAAGAAGCAGAGAGGGGTTCTGGGCTCTTGCATCAGAGGATTCTGTGGCTCTCAAAGGTGGCCGAGGTAAACATGGAAGGAGCCTGGTACCTAAACCACACAGAACCAGAAATACTGCATAGAGCTGCTGAGTGAGAGGTGGGTTTTTATTGTCACTGTAAACTAACACCAGGGGAGTTACCTGTTCCAAAAGCCAGCATCCCCAGCAGGGACGAAGGCCTGAGGTCTGGGAAGCAGCAGAGCCCCTCATTTCCAGACTCATTAAATATTCAGAGAGGACTCTGACCCAGGGCAGCAGTGTGGGGACACTGCCCATAAACCAGGACAAGGGTCCCAGCAGCTGGCCTTTTGAAGGAAGTCAGCAAAATTGCTGATCACTCAGCTAGAGCAGGAGCTGGAGCCCTATTACTCCTCCTTCCTGCTGGAATCTGCACATCATACTGCTCAGGCAGGAAGCTTGTCGAGCAGCGGAAGAGCTCTGTGGCCGCTTCTCCCCAAGTTGACTGGAAGTAGAGACAGGCAACCTTCTCGCCCACTGCTATGGATTCCCGAGCTGGATTTCCAGCTGACCCAGTCCCTGGCCCAGACCACATGGCGTGTCCAAGCTGCCCTGTGGTAACCCCTAATCCTGGCCACAGTCAAAAGGCACTCCTAGGCAAGAGAGGCAAACACCGAGAAGCCGGGTCTGACCTCTTGTTTGCCTTGAGACAAAGTGTCTGTCCCACAGACTGGCCCCTGGGTGCGTCTGGGAGGCAGGTCCTGGCTGGCCGGGTCACACCCGAGATAGCCTCATGATGCACAGAGATGCTCAGAGGGGTGAGTCAGTGATTCCACCTTCACGATTCACCCAGACAGCAGCACCACACCCCTCTGTTTTGGTCTGAAAATCAAGCTGGGCCGGTGACACGCAACACCTCACAACACCTTTGTTGTCAAAGGTAAGAGACATCTGCCCACAATGCTAGCCTCTGAGAGTATTCTCAATCCAAACAGGGCCTTGCCACCCACACAGTTCCCAGAATGGAGGCAGCAGGTAAGGGGTGAAGGAAGAGAAATCTCTGATGTGGCTGCCAGTCCTGTTTCATCCCAGTCCTGTTGTTTATAGAACCAGCAAAGCCCCACATTGTCCAAGCTCATTCCCATCCTGGGAGCTTTGCCTTTTACATGTGTGCTGCTTTATGCTTCCAATGCCTTTTCCCTTACAGAGGGAGGAAAGTCAGGAGAAACAGGTGCTACAGTTCAGATGCTGACTGTCCACATGCAGCAGGGCCCCAGTGTGGTGTCACTGGGTGTGCTGTGGACTGCTAGGAGGAAGGGCTTTGTGGGAGGTTCTTAAGTCTTGGGGGTGTGTCCTCAGGTCTTGGGGGTGTGTCCTCACCCTGCCAAAGGGAGGCTTGTGGGACCCTTCCTCTTCCATTCTGTTCTTTGCTTCTTGGCCCTGAGGTGAGCCCCTCGTTCTGCCATCTGCTCCCTGCCATTGCAATCCAGCAGGCCCACTGGAAACCCAAAACAATAGGTCTGCCTGATTGTGGATTAGAACCCAAATCAAATGGTGACATTGATCAGTAACACAGATGGGATCACAGACAATACGAGGCAAGAGAGGCCTACTCATTATGTGCCACCTCCAGCCCCTCCTTGCAGGTGGGCTGGCTAGGTCTCCTCTGGGTCTTGACACCACATGTAGTCCAATGGCCAAACGCCGTGTTCAGTTCCCTCTAGGAATGGCAGCCGAAACTACCCTCTGACTTCCAGGCCAGGCTGAGCAAGTCAGTCCCCACCAAATGAGTTCCTGCCAACCTGTGGGTTAGAGAAGTCAGACCCCCTCCCGGCCCCAGCTGCTGGGTTGTACCATTGACAGACGTATCATATGGCTCGGCTTCTTCATAGTAACCCTCCGAAGACTCAATCCTTGAGACACTGAACTGTTTCCGTTCTGGAATCTGTGGCATGAACAAATAAAACAACCATCTTCAGATACGGTACACTGGAAACAACTTGGAATTAGCTCTTTGGGTGGGAGGAGGAGGAAGTCCAGGAGAAACAAATGCCCAACTGGACTTTAAGCAGGTGGGGAGGGGAGTGTGGAATACAAAGGACCCAGACTCAGATACAGGATAGCCCCTCGAGCCTTGCTTCCCTTCTCTGTAGGACAAGAATCATTATCAGGGCTGTTCTGAGGATTCAGTGAGACAGACATGGCAGCTTCCACAGGGTCTGGCCCATATTAAATATAACTGCTATTGTTGTCAGGGGCCATATAAAACCCAGGGTCCACAGGTTGGGCACAGAGGGTAGTTGTCACGACAGGAACCAAATCACTGGACTGACGTCTTTGTCACAGAGAGAGGCTACATGAAGAGGGTCAGCCAAGGCCAGCTACAACCTGGGTCCAGCACCTGACACCTTCCTGAAGGAGTGGGCCTCACCCCAGCATCACCCTGGTAAGAAGGGATAGAGTCATCTGGTCATTTCCTAAGCTGCTCAGGTACTGTGCCGGGTGGCAGATGGTTGCTGAGGGAGACAGGTGTAAAAGGCACCTCAGGCCAGATCCTTCCTGAGGCCCAGAGCCCCTCACACAGTGGGTATGCAATCCAGAGCTACTAGGAAATGACTTTTCACCCTGGCCCGGTGACAAGTGTCTGCCCTCCCAGCCATCCCTTGCTCTCCTGCAGAACTAGCAGCTTGAAAAGGGTCTGCCTATGAGATAGGCGGGGTTCTACCTGGGGCAGAGGAAGTGTCCTCTCCTCTCAGCAGTGGTAAGCTCTTCCCCGGATGGCCTCCAGCCCCAGCCTCAAGGAGCCCCATTCCCAGCAGGTGATGCAGAAACCCTCTCCCCACTCTGGAGAGAAGCCCTGGACACCCAAGTTCTGCTCTGGGTCAGGACCCCACAATTAGAAGAGGACAAAGCAGGAAGGAGCCCCTTGGCCTCCACAGGAACTTCCTGTAGGTCATCACACCCCGTCTCAGGTAAAGCAGTAGGTAAGATTGTACGAGTCTCCCAAGGGCCTCTCTCTGACAAGCCTACTGCGTATGGATCAGTGTTGAGAGATGGTACAGGACAGAGGGGAAGAATCTCACCTCCAAGCCCAGCCCAAATCCTGGCACTGATGCATCCCAGCTGTGTGACTCTGACCAACTAAAGAAACCTCTCTGGGACTCCGTGTAAAATGAAGTAGAAATAGCTATCATGTGGTACTGTTGTAAGGATGAATCTATGCACAGCAACATTAAGTACTCAATAAATATCATTTTTTATTAACCTAAGAAAATACAAAAATACCAAAGGCAAAAATGTTTTGTGTACATGTGTGGTGGAGGACTTTTAAAAAAAATAATTAAATCTTTATTATTTTGTTACTGAAACAACAGAAATAATAGAATGTTAAAATAAGAGAATATTGGGCATGGGATTTAGCTCAGTGGTTCTGCTGCCTGCCTCGCAAGTGCAAGGTCCCGAGTTCGATCCCTGGTACCCCCCAAAAACAAACCAAAAAAATTGAATGTTGTTTGTCCAAGTAGCAGTGGAAAAATGTAATTGTGCTGTATGCATTCAAGCTCTTGAATTTTTTAAATTTAATGTAATACAAATAGATATTAATAAAGAAAATATAAAATTATTTTCTATGAAAAAGTAAAACACAGTCTCATAGCACAATAATTAGAGAACGACAATAATTAATACACTGTATGTCATGATCTTGAACAGCCAATATGTTACTCAAGAGTACAAGTCATGGACAAGAAAGACTGTCTGATACATTAAAAAGAAGCAAAACGACAAGACTTTCAATGAGCAAAGAGAAACCAGTACTAGTACACCACGGTGCTCGACTGCGATGCCTGGGTACTGGACTATTCCGAAATTTGTCTCACTTGGTATTTGACGTGCATGTTTTGCCCTGGGACTCATCATCTGTTTAGCACTCCATGCACAAGCTAGAACTTGTGAGCTACCCTCTCCAGCCAAGACAATCTGGCACTGGCCGTGCCTCCCAGGACCAATTCACGGTGAGTCACAAGGTACCACCATAGTCTAGAAGGGTACAGAGGAGAGTCCGGGGCTGACCTGGCTGTACACACCAAGCTCTGCCTCGCCTTGCTAAACGGAAAGGCCCCAGCTCTCCAGGCTGCTGGAACATAAGCACTAAGGTCAAGCAAAATGTGAACATGAGCTGCATAACAATTCAGAAGAGAACCTCATAATTACCGACACCACCATCTACTTACTAACGGGGATCAAGGGAAAGAGATCCTCATCTCCCAGGGCGAAGGAGAAAGGGCTCTTATCTTCAGTACCAGCATCCTTGTGTTGAGGGAGAGTGTGGATACTAAATGAAGATGCAAAAGGGATTTGACTTCCGTACCTGAAATGGCTCTGACTAACCAGAAGAAGTGAGTAAATCCCTCTGCTCAGCAGGATTTATCAGAGAGCCACAAACTCTTTCTCATATATGGCCAAGTAGAAGATTTGATAAATTTGTAGGCTGCGTGAAGCCACTTATCTCAGCTGCTCAGCTCTACAGTTGCAGCACACCCACAGATAACGCACCCTGGAGCAGCGCGCTGTGCTCCAATAAAACCTTGGGGGCCCAGGCAGGCAGCAGGTGGAATTTAGCCAGCAGGCCAGTTTGCCAAGCCCTGGCTGAGACAGCAGAGGTAGAGAGGTAGCCCAGGTAGCCCAGGTAGCCCAGGTGACACAGGCTCTCTTGCAGCTCTAAGCACCTGGCCCAGAGTGCAGCCCCTAAGTAAGGTTCTGGGTAGGGGAGGAGGTCAGGCGTCCACAATGACTATAGCAGTACCCTGTTAGGGGGTCGGCTGCTTCCTCGACAAGACAGCTCACTGGAAACCAGTGCTGGCGCATGCTCGAGCCTCCAAGGGGATGTGGGTGGAGGTGGCTGTGCTTGCCAAGAGCGGGAAGAGTGGCCAGCAAACATCTGTTTCTACTGCAGTGACCACAGCACCTGGCTGGGCAGACAGCACCCTGGAAAAGCCACAGCTGCCTGAGTCACTGCCCACACTCATGAGGTTTTCCCAGAACCCTGGCTGGCCTTTCATCGCTGAGTCCGTGGGTTGCAACGAGGACCCAAGCCACCATGCAGAGAATTGGGGCTTGTGGCCAACAAGTACCCTGACCCTTAGGACAGAGGCCGTAGTCCTGGCCCAGCTGGTGACACTGAAGACCCCAGGCAGACATCCAGCTCCTGCTGTAGTTACCAGTGGGTGGCAGTGGCGTGAGGCCCAGATTTCAGTGAACAAGGCCCTAGGGCAGCCTGATGCTCTAGGGTCAGAGCGGGAGGGAGAGGCTTCTTCTGCCTGAGGAGGAAGGGAGGCCACAGGGTCGCTTCAGGCTCAGGCCTTGGAGCAGAGATGACACAGTCCCTCCCTGGGAGGCTGCTTCTTCAGCTCTGGATCTCCTCCTCTTTCAGGCTCCACCAGACACCACTCCTCTGGGGGCCTCAGACTGAGAGCTATGGCCGTTCAGCGGAGATTCACCCAGAGGGGGAACAAAGATATGCCCTGCACCTTTGTGGGGACAGAGAGGGCACCCTGAGCGCTGTCACCCTTTCCACATGCCACATTCGGAACCCCTGGGGGGTGGGTCCAAACCAGGAGGACTAGGAGGAACTAGGAGGGACCCAAATGAGGGAGCTGTGGGCCACACCCCTGTCCTTCTAGCAGAGCAAGTCCACAGTGGGGAGGGAGCCAGCGGTACTGTACAATCAGCTGGCGCAGCTGGAACTCTCCCCAGGCCTGGACTCTGCCCACTCGGCAATGACCACTCCTCAGAAAGGGCACCCAGGACAATGTATTCCTGGGTGTTGATATTTACCCAAACTCCAGCACCAGGTTTCTCTCAGATGTGGTCATGAGCAGCCCACAGGCCCAGAGCTCCAAAAGGCTCCCTAGAGTGGGCCTCCTGCCTCCTTGTCTGCCCCCCACCCAGATGCTCTTCCTGCAGTTGCTGTAGGGGACAGAAAAACCTGCACCAGGATCCCAGAGCTACTGGACTCGCCACAATCCAGTCAGATTCAGATACCCAATCCCAAGGCCCTGGGCCTCTCGGTTCACAGTGTTTGTAAAGCAGAATCCTGGAACCCTCAGCGCTCAGTGCCAGGGAGACCCTGCCTGGTGTCCCCCACTGAAGAGACAGCGACACACCTGCTTTCCAGCTCTCCTCGGAGCCATCCAGCTTGGGGGCCTCTTGGCCAGCGATTCGGACTTGCTGAGCTTGTTTTTTTCACATGAAAAACGGTGCAAAAATACCACCCCATTTGGGTGGGCTGGGGGTCATGTTGGTGGACATGGATGGGCCGGGCATCATCAGCATCATGGGGCCTCCTAGTGACTAAGGATCAGTCCAGCAAGTCTCCCCTAGCCCAAGACAGACTTCTACCTGCACCCAGCTGCAGGCTCTCCACAACTGCCCCGAAAACACAGTGAACTCACACTGTGGTTTGAGGACGGGTATCCCTACCACCTACAGGAAGGCGGAGAGAAGAGGCTGGTCCAGAGCCACTCTGGGAATGGGGCCCCACTCAAGGGTGACATGAGCCCACAGATCAGGGGACAGGTCATGTGGCGGAAGCCCAGGGACTGCAGAGTTGGTGTCCTGCTAGCTACACAAAGCCTTCTCCCCTATGGCCCTGGGCCTTCTCGTGAGGAAGAACCCGGGTCCTAACCCTGATGCTGCCCCTTCAAGGCCGTGAGACGTTGACTGTGACACATAAAACCAGTACTTACCTCGCTGAACACTGGCACAGCACGCCACACACAGTGCTACGTAGCCTGACAAACTGACGAGAGAGACGCCAACATCCTTTCCACTGTAACTCCAGGACACAAAGGGCTAGCAACCTTAAATGACTTTCTTAGGGTCAAAGAGCTAGACCCCAGGCCAGCTGGGCTCTAAGTCCACATCGGTGTGACTCCACACACTCATGACGCTGTTCAGCAAAGGCATTTGACAAAGCCTCCTGTTCTCATCGCCTTGGGTGGAGGGAGGTGGCCCCGAGTAAATGACAAGTGGTGTGCACAGGTTCCCTTTCTGTCTCCCTCAGTGCCCCGGCCCATGCCCTGCCTACAGTGGGTGCTCAGAGAGTGCCAGAGGCTTGGTAGATGGTTGTCCGTGAGCACGGTGGAAGTTCTGAGGGAAACTGGATGGATACTTACCATCTTGGGCGGCGGAAGGTCTGGAAGGCTCTTCTGAGGGGCCGAGGAGTGCTGACCAGGCTCCCCATTGGTCAGTGGACCCTGCTTCTCGGGTACTGTGGGCAGCAGGAAGAGAAGGCTTCCGTGAGGGGTATGGAGCATAGCAGGGTCTCATTACCTAGGAATGTCTGGTTGCTAGTCCTGTCCCCCATCCCATGAATTCTATTTGAGCAGGTGTTAATTACCCAGGCAGGCTGTTTTTCCTCCAAGAATAGGTCACAGCATGCCCCAGCCATAGGCAGATTCCTCAGAAGGAACCAGCTTGGCTTTCTGGCAGGCTCCCCCGCCCACCCCATGTCAAAAGCGGCCCAGCCACAGAGTTCCAATGAGCACAGCCATTGCCTGGCAGTCACTATATTGAGCACACTTGGCACTGACCCTGTGATTATGGCTTTTTCCTCCCACAGTTTACCGTGAGGGCAAATGGCCCTGGGCAGAGTGACTGCTGCCCAGAGCTGGCAGTAGGAAGTGGGAGAAGGGGTGCAGGGGGTACACGAGGTAAGGAAGGTACACCAGGAGGGTCAGACCATCCACCCTCTTGTATGGAGAGGCACAGCGGGTTCTTCTAAGCCTGAGTGTTTCAGCCAGCCCGGCCAGGTCCGGGATGAACGGCTCAGCCCAGCTTCCTTCAGGGCTAACGCGGCCTACGCCACAAAGGCAAGCCCTTCCCAGGACTGAGTGTTTAGGGGCTGTGTTCCTGCCCCTCTCTAGGACTTTCCATTGGAGTCAGGCTTGGGAATTTGGGAGATGAGCTGCTTATGCCCCTTTCTCTGCCTCTGGGCAGCTCTGCAAACCACTGGTACCCTGGGTTCTGCCAGACCCTCTCTGGAAAACTGAAGAGCAAATCAGCGTGCCCAGGAGCGCAGAGCCGGGGAAAGACACCACTGTCCTTCAGTAGAAAGACAAGATGTTCTGCCCCAGAGCATCGTTCCTCAATGCTAAGGCTGTTGCTGACACCGCCATCTCTCCTCTCTCCTCCCCAAACAGACATCCATCAAAAGACACAAAGTAGGGACCGTGGGATCAGCACCACACACAGCTGCTTTCCTAGAACGTCTGAATTATGACTTCCTGTTCTTGGGATAATGCTGGGAAAAGCCAAGAGATTTTAGGGACAGATTTTTCATTCAATGGGCAAGAAGGTGGCAGCCTGTTAAAACATCCAAAAATACATCAACCCAAAATACCACCAACCGAAATGTGTATTCCAAAAATAACTCCTTTGGGCCTGTCTGTATGCTGGCTGGGAGGAAAGAGGGGAGGATGGAGCCCAGCCTTGTGCCTTCCCGCCCCGCAGCCACCACGGTCCCATACCTCTGTCCTGAGACTCGGCATTCTGTTGCTTGTTGACTGTGACTTTGTTCATGTAAATGTACTCCTCATCAGAACCTGCACAAGACAGAAGACATGGGCCTCACATGATTTTGTGAAGGGACAGGGCCTCCAGGGAGAAACGCAGCCCCCGAGACATTTTCATGTTTGGATTCAATAAAAACACTCAGCATTCAGGGTTGATCCACCACTGAGAGCTGACAGATTTCCACACAAGAAAGGACAAGTTTCAGTCTGCTAATTTTCTATCCCAGGAGGATGGGAGGAGAGAGGGTAGGGAAGGGAGTAGACAGATGGCTTAGGAATAAATATTGAATGTTGAAATGTACCTATACTTCAAAGATCTGCCACATATTCCATTAACTAGAGGTGTCTCTGACTGTTGCAACATTTTATCCATGCTATATTTTTTATCTGTCATTCTTATTGTAGCTTGAATCACCTGAAGGGATTCATCAGTGATGTCTAAGAAGTTTAGCTCCCAGATCCCCAGGAGGGTGAGGAGGGGGAGCTGAACAGGCAAATCAGATGAGCTGGGAGTAAAAAGGGGTGAGAAGGCATCACACTTCTGGGCTTCAAGTTACCCTACAAGGCTACGGTGATAAAAACAGCACAGTACTGGCACACAAACAGATGCAGATCAAGGGAACAGAACAGAGACCAGAAGCAACTCCAAGCTCATTCTGCTGTCTTATCTTTGACAAAAGCATGTATCGGAGGAAAGAGCTTCTCTAAAAAATGGTGCAGGGAAATCTGGATACCCACATGCAGAGGACTGGATCTACACTCATGTCTTTCTTCATGTACTAAAGTAAAATAAAAATGTATCAGAGTCCTAAATGCTAAAACAAATAGTTAATCTGCTGGAAGACAAAATTTTAAGACTCTTGAAGACAGAGGAGCAGGCAAGGACTTTCTGAACAAAACCCCAAATGCACAAGAAATAGTACCAAGAATCAACAAGTGAGACATCAACTTAAAATTTTCTACACAGCAAAGGAAACAACCAACAGACTGAAGAGACAACCTACAAAATGGGAAAAAAAATTTTGCCTGCTATTCCTCAGACAGGGGACTAATATCTAGAACAAATAAAGAACTCAAAACATTAGACTACCCCAAAATAAAAGACTCAATAAAAAAAATGGGTAACTGAAATGAACATACACTTCTTAGAAGTACAAATGGACAACACATATATGAAAAAATGTTCAACATCTCGGGCCATCAGAAAAATGCAAATTGAAACAATACTGAGATTTTGTCTCACTCCAAAGAGAATGGGCATCATCAAGAAATCAAACAATAACAAATGCGGGCAAGGTTAGGGGAAAAAGGAAAGCTTCTACATTGTTGTAACAATATTAACTAGCACAAGCAATATGGAAACCAGTATGGAGATTACTCAAAAAACTAAAAATAGAAATTCAATTTGACCCAGCTGTTCCCCTCTAGGCAACTTCCGGAAAGAGTTAAAGACATCATATTACGGTGATAGACGCCTACCCATATCTATAGAAGCACAACTCCTAACATCTCAATCTTGGAAGTAGCCTTTATGTTCATCAACAAAAGAATGGATAAAGAAAATGTGGCATTTCTACACAGCAGCGTACTACTCCGCCTTAAATAAGAATAATGAGTCAAGTGTAGGAAAACGGATGCACCTTGAGGCCAGAGGGTTAAGTGAAATAAATCAAGACACACAAGTTTAAATACTGCACGGTTTCTCTTACAGAAGAAACCTAGACTATAAGTAAAGTGAAAAATGAAAGATAAAAAGAAACAGATAGGTCTTCTGGAAAAGAGAAGGGGACCAAGAGATGGAGGGAGGTGGGAGGGAAGGGGAAAAGGGGGATTCAAAAAAGAGCTAGGATGTGTTATGTATGTGCACCAACTCCCCACAGAGAATGTGATTATCATGTACTGCAGACTTGTACCAATGAAAGAAAGAAAGAAAGAAAGAAAGAAGACTCTCCTTGTGCAGAAAATGATCGTATCCTGTAGTGGAACAACTCCTCCCCTCCGTTAAAGATCACTTCTATGCAGATAGGGTCACCTTTCCATGTCTGCAGTGGGCAGAGAACAGCAAACGTCCTGCCATATCCTTGGTTCCTCATCCACAGGCACTGTTCCCCAGAGGCTGCCCATGAACCTATCCCAGCCTTTTTCCTCGAAGTTCTTCTGTATCCTGTTATGGTTTGTGCCTAGATGTCCTGCCAAAGCCTCATGCGGTCATAGGTGGGGCTTTTCAGAGGTGGCTGAATCTAGAGTGTGTGCTGCTAAGACGAAGGGTGTGTGATTACTAAATCAGTCCACTGATTGGTTTGGCACTACCCTAATCCTGGTAGCCTAGAGTATAGAAGGACAGAAAGCAGCTGCTAAGGTTCCTTGTTTGCTTTTTCTGTCTTATGCCTGCCATGAACTGTTTCTCCTCTGCTAAGCTACCCTGCCTGGAGACAGCGATTACGGACTGAACCCTCTACAAAGTGTGAACCAAACCTCTCCTCCCTTACTTTGTGGGTGTTGGGTATTCTGTCTCAGCAAGGAGAAAAGTAACTAAGACACAGCCCTTCATTCGCATTTCCTAGAAAACTGTGACTGATAAATTCCAGTGGCTGCAGAGCGTCCCTGATCTGAAGGACTCAATTCCAACTTCTGCTGAAGGAAGCCGTTCAGCTCATGGTCACAGACTTCCCCGACTCCAGCCAAAGGCCTGCAAAACAGAGGTCTGAGAACCACGAGGATCCGGAGGAAGCCAGATGGGTCCTCAGCCATCAGGCCTTTGGGTCATCGCTTCAGTGCCTAGCCCCACCAGGGCAGTCGGCAGGGTCACCTGTATAAAGGACTGTGGCCGTTTCTGGAAGGAAATTGAGATGCAAGAGTTGACCATAGCACGTCCTCTTCTACCACCCAAGACTCAGAGTGGGGGCTTCTAACTTCTCCACAGCTCAGCCCCCCAGGGATGGGTGCTCAGGAGGAAGAGGCAGGAGACGGGGTCTCAGCCAAGTTCTGCTGCTAACAGCATGATTCAGTGCAGAACATTGAACTCCTGTGCCTCTGTTGGAAAACACTCCTGTTTCTACCTAACTCTCCCATCTTCAAAAGTATAAATAAAAGTGTAAATAAGATTCAAACTATATAACTGATCACGGGAAATAGGAAGAAAACGGAAGGCAAAAGGAGTAGGGGAAGTGGAAAGGGGAAGGGAAAGGAGGGAAGGGAAAAGAAAAAATATGAAAAAGGAAGAAAGAGGAGACAGTCTCTGTAAATAGGGAAGGGTGGAGGGTGTGAAAGGAGGGAAAGGGGGATGGGGTAAAAATAAGAACCAAGATACATCACGTAAAGGTACGATGATGAATGTAACTGTACTGGATACCTAAAAAGTATCAATAAACAATGAAAAAAGGCCCTCAAATACTAGGGAAATCGAAAAAGGTAAAGCTTATAGCAAATAAAGATTAAAAATGACAGATTAAATATTTACAAGACATTTGATAAAGATTAAAAATGGCAAATAGTTTAAAGGCTCAACAACAGGAAAATGCTAAATCGGGGCACATGGACATACAGGAAGGCGCGTCACCTTTAAAGATGAAGTGGGCTGGGCTGAGGCTGCCTGGTGATGTTTGGAGAAGTCAGGCACTAGTGGGCTGGGCTCACCATCGCTCCATTGAAGCTCGTTGTCAGGGTGCTGTGAAGCATTCTTCTAGTCTACCTAGGCACGGCTACCATCTCCCAGATTTCCACTTCTGGGCCTCATTCCTAACCCTCAGCTCTTCAGTTTCATTCTGTTTGCTCGTTGCTGGGAGCTGACTGCTGAACCCAGTGAGCGATACCTGCAGCCCTTTCTACTAGAGTTTTGTTTTTCTGTTGTTTTTAAATCTTCAGTCCTGGTCTTATTATGTGGCCCATGCCAGCCTAAGTACTGTCATCCTCTTGCCTGAGCCTCCTGGGCATTTGGGACTAATGGGCATGAGCCCCTTTACCCCGGTCCTCCACTGTTCTCACGGGTACATGTGGAGGCATCAGACAGGCGCATCTCACGTGACTGCATGGCAGTGACAAAACTGCCTGGCATCTGGAATGCTACAGTTACAGGACCTTCATCCCACCTGTACTTTTCCCCTCCCAGTGTTCCTTGGGTATCCGGCTCAAAGCAATCCTACTGCTCAAGTAATCCTACTGCTTAAACAAACTATATAACCTGCCTCGGGGGACAACTCACAACCTCACATTTACGAGGCAGGTACAGTGCCACTGAGCTACACCCTGCTCTTTCTTTCATTTTATTTTGAGATAAGGTACTGCTAAGTCTGGTTTCCAACTTGCAATCGTTTTGCTTCTGGTAGAGGTGGTTTTGAACCACACACAATTGCTAATCCAGAAGTACAAGACTGGGGGGCGGGTGGCTCTGTGATAGAGGCTTATCTAGTATGCAAGAGGCCCTAGGTTTCATTCCCAGCATCACTCAAAAAAAAAAAAAAATGAAGCAGAAGAAAAGAATCCATAAGTTCTATGTGGGTTTGTTACAAAAGGCTCTCAAGACCTTCTGCAACTGTGGGGAAAGCACAGTGAACTTGGCTCTGGAAGGCAAAGCTGCCAAGCAGTCCCCTGTCTGGGGAGAGCTTCTGTTACTCACTCATTCTCAGATGTGCACAGAGAACAACAAAGACACTGTCTCTTTCTCCCGGAACCCAGCAGTCTGGTGGTGAGAAAAGAACCTGATAGTGAAATTCGATAAGTCCGCAATGGGTATGAAATGACAATGGCCACAGCAGGTGCTGGAAAGATGAATTTGCAGTGCTGGGAGAAAGTGTGTAATTCCTGGGAAATCTGCCCTGGTCTGCAGGGGGTGGTTCTTCTCCCAGAACTGGGACAAGGAGGAGGGAGGTGAACCTCTTTGCTAGCATTGGATGGAGAGAGTATTTGAAGTGCTTCCTACCAGAGGAGAAGCCACTGAAATGTGTCGGACCCCTGAGCAAGGGGAGGTGGAGGACACGGCTCTTGTTGACAAAGCCATGAACACACCACAGATAGCCAAGTTCCGGACAAATAGCCCTCAATCTGTCACCACCCAGATCAAAAGTAGACAGGGTAGAAAATCCATGTTAAGCAATAAAGACAAAGGCTCAGAAAACACACACAGAGGATTCCATTGGAAAGTGTAAATGCATGTTCACACACTCACACTGTGCACCACGTACGTAAATGACTGCCCAGCCGGGACCAGCCTGCCTCTACCTACAAGTCCTGGGACCAAGATAAGCTAAGTTTTTGGTAGATACACAAAGGAAGTGGGTCTGGGAGGCTAATAGGAAGATGGATGCTTAAATTTCAGAGTAGGGGAGGGTGCTTAGGATCTGCCCTGGGTAGTGCAATTAATCTAATGCAGCAAAGCCTAAGGGAGGTCAGGGCTACATACTCAGATCCAACCTTCCCCAGCCTGGCCACTTATGGCCGGGCACCATGGGGCTAGTGGCTTTCCAAAGCCTTGGTTCCTTCATTGGTAAAAAGGGGATAACAACAACTACCTCACAGCTGGGATGATGAAATGAGGTAATTCACATCAGTGAATACATAAAGGGCCACGCTGGAACACAGTAAGTACACAGTCAGGTTAGCTATGGCTCTACCTTCTCCATAGTTTAAGGGGGACAGAGAGGGACACAAGGGAAAACCTCTGGCACGCACCATATTAATGAGTGGGCATCACTCGTAAGAATACCAGTAGCCACAGGCTTGGCACGCCTGCACACTTTATCAGCAACCCAGGGGCACTCCGGGGGTGATCCCCTCTGGGAGCCCCCTCACTGGTTTTCAGCAGCCTCTCAACATCAATGAGCTGCAGGCCTGGGAAGGTCTGACTAGGAAAGGTGGACCAGGGTGGAACAAAGGTCTCCCTGCTGGAGGCTTAGCCACACATTAAACTAAAGAGGGACCTAGCAAGGGAGGTGCTGGCAGTGCAGTCTGGTCCAAGAATGGTAGGTCAGATGGATCACAGAGAGGTGTTTTCCAGTTGCCAACAGAGGCAGTCTTTATAACTGAACATTCTCGAGGCAAGGCACATCTTAAAAGGTCTGGGGAGTGTGCTTTTTAATGGACTCCAGTGATGACTCCATCCACGGAATGAATCATCCCCTCTCTAACGCCCTGCTTTGTAGTGTGGATTTCCCCTCTTCCATTCCCACCGCGTGCTTCTTTGATGTGCTGGCTGGCAGACAGACGCTGCTACAAAGCCAGGAGCAGCCTGGGAACCGGGCAAAGGTGAGGAGGGGCGCCAGGAGACAAGACCTGATGACAGAGTGGGGAGCTGCGGTTACTCCTCCAGAAGGGAAGGCTGCCGGGCATATAGCGCCCGGCTTCAGCTTTACTGTCTCTATCTTTCAGATAACCGAAACAAGCTCCACTGGGGAGGGGAGAGGAAGTGGAAAGGGGCCTCGGAATACAGGCTGGGCGCAGGGAGCATTTCCGGATTGGGATGGCCGAGCAGATGGAGACCGTCCTTCCCTGGCACGACTCGGCGTGCACCTGCTGAAAGCCAGGTGGATTAAACACCCTCCAAGAGTCCCTTGTTTTTCCCTAATTTTCAAACCCTTAATATAGAATTCAGCTCATCTGTCAGGACTTCATAAGCTTTGCCTAAAAAATTTTATGCTAGAAACGAAACCGAATGTCCATAAGAAGATTTGGACAAGAATGTTCACAGCAGCCTTATTCATTATAGCTCACATCTGTAAAAAATCCAAATGTTCATCACAAGGGAATGGTAGGAAAAAATTGTGGTGTATTCCCCAGTGATAAAAGGAACAAACCACTGACCCATCCATGCACATGTATGGGTCTCTTAAACAAAGGAAGCCAGGCATGAAGCACATACCGTAATTCCATTTACACAAAGCTCCGGCACAGGTCGCTGCTGCAGGAGGAGAGAAACCAGGGCAGCGGTCGATCTGGTGTCAAGGTGGGAAGGGGATTAAGTGGGATGACAGAAATGGCCTATGTCTTGTTTTGGATGTGGGTACGCAATAACACAATGATCAAAACCCAATGATTTGTAAGCTTAAAACTTGTCTTTCTGTATGTAACTGCTACTACAATAAAAATATGGAGACATTACGAACTCAGAGTTCTGTGATTTCCTCTTTTTCCTTTGGGCTACATAATACTGGGAAAGTCACTTAAACTCTCCAGACTCTCTTTCCTCATCTGTAACAGTCACCCTGACCCTGTAGGGACATCTTCAGAAGAGCTTCAAATGGGTGAAGGAGGGAAGTGCTCAATCAAGCCTCAGGTATTATAAAAGCTCATTACTACCCCTTTCTACTTTGAACCACTCAGGAAAAGTACTTTAAAAATATGTCCTTTAAAACTTTACTCCTGGGCTACTGTGCTGAACATTCAGATTTCTGAGGCTCTCCCTCAAGTCAGGTCATCCCTGCAACTGTTTTTTGTTTTGTTTTGTGGTGCCAGGGCCTTGCACAACTAGCAAGTGCTCTACCCCTGTACCATTGTTATGGGTTAAATTGTGTCTCTCCTGAATTTATACTAAACCCTAGCTCCTAATACTTCAGAATGCGACTGTCTTTGGACATAAGGTCTTTAAAGAGATAACTAAGTTAAAAATTAGGTCATAGGGTGGGCTCTACTATAGTATGACTGATGTCCTTATGAGAAGATGGGACATAGACAGAGAATAAAGACCACAAGAGGACATGCAAGCCAAGGAGAGAGAGGGCAGCAGGAACCAGCAGCCTTACATGCTCCTTGATCCTAAAATTCCACCCTTCAGTCCTGTAAGACAATAAGTCTCTGTTGTTCAGGCCATCCTGCCTGTGCCTGAACAGGCAGCCCGAGCTGACCAGTACTACCATCTTCCCAAGGTCCCAGGGCTACACTTACTGCTGCTCTTGGTGTAGAGCCGGAGGAGCTCTGCCAGGCCACTCTTCTTCACTACCGCTGTACTACTCAGGCTCTCCTGGTCCAGAATCTTGAGGAAGTCATCCAGCTCTGTCAGCAGCTGATCCAGGGCTAGAGATGGAAAACAAGAGAAACCTTTCAGTGGCTGCTCCTCTCTAAAAGGCTGGCGTGCACACACTTCCAGACCCTGTAGCTTCCCACCATACCACCTCTGGTCCCAGGAGGTGGGATTGTCAGTTCTGGGAGCTCAGTGGGAGAGAAGCAGGCCCCTGATGTTGAGATGGACAGCCTCAGCCAAAGCTCCAGGGCTTCCATTCGCTGGAGGAGGATGGTGGCCAAATTGGTCCAACATTCTGAGTGTATTTCCCCCATCACCAGTGTTTACCCTCACATAGTTCTTGTGAGAAAACAGAACAGCCGCCAAACAGCTTTCCTGGCTACTGAGCTCTGCCCTCAGCACTGTGGTTAGAATCGTGGTTATCCGATCTTGATTCCCTCCAGGTGACTTTGAGACTATTATTTAACTTTCTCAGGCTGGTTAGGTCAAATGCTTAGTAAAGTTCATTCCAGCACTGAAGCCCTATGACTCCAAGACTGATTATGGCTTGGGCGCACAGCTTTCTAAAACAAATCTGTTCTCAGATGCCCATGATCAAAAGCTGCCCAGCTCTCTAGATTCTTAACAGCTTTCCTGCAAATGGCTACAATGTCACCTACTGCCTCCATCACTTGTTCTATAGCCCAACCTTTGTACCCCACTTTCTCAGGTGTTCACACATAATGGGCTTCTGCCCTGACAAATCCTACTCATCTCTTAGGTCTTAGTCTAGAAAAAATTCTTTCTGGGACACCTACTCTGGGCCTCTGGGGCAGTGAGGGCTCCTGTGACAGATAATCCCATGTGACTGGCACTGGCCCTTACGAAGGCTGAATGGTGGCCTCCAGCAATGTTCATGTTCTCATCCTCTGAAGCTATGAATACACCACTTTGCCCAAGAAAAGGAATTTACTTGTGGTTGAAGATAGGAGAGGATCCTGGATTATCTGGGTAAGCCCAAGGCAATGACAAGACCTTTGATAAGAGGCAGGAGGGTGAGAGTCAGAGAAAATGGGAAAACAAAAGCAAGAGCCAGAGAGGATCAGAGAAGGTACCATGTTGGCTCTGAGGCTGGGAGAAGGAATGCAGGTGATCTCTAGAAGCTGGAAAAGCAATACTCTCCTGGAGCTTCCAAAAGCAGCAGAATCCTCCAAGCACTTAAGACTCTGATCTACTGTGTTTTAATGAACTCGTATTGCTATAAGTCACTAAGCTTGGTAGTTCATTATAGCAATGATAAGAAACTGATACAACCTGTCACATTTCTGACTGAGCTACATACTGTAGCTGCCTGTGTCACTAACTACATGTTCCAAGGATAGGCTTTGCGTCTAGTTTACATCCCCAGAGCCCAGCACAATGTCCAATAAATATTAACTGATGAAGTGAATGAACAAATGCAAAGGAAATTCACTCTCTTACGGTGTATCTGAAAACACTCCATGACTAGTGTGTAAGAAAAATAAATCCTAACCTAGATTGGGAAGGAAGAGTCCAGAGAAAAGCAGATCCTACGTACCTAAAATCCTGGAGCAACAGGCTTTGTGAAAAACCCTACTTTTTCACTTCACATATTCCAGTACCAGCACTGGGAAACCAAATAAGTCTACCCTCAAAGGATTTCAAACTACTTTTCTACTTCATATCATACAGTACCAACCCTGAGAACACCAATAAGACTACCTCCATGGTCGAGAAGAAACTAACTCCTAGTTTACCAAACAGACTGGCTGTTGTAAAATGTGGCTCCTGCAGCTTTCTCACTATCTGGCACCTCTGGTGGTGCCTGCTGTTCTCATGGCCCCTCCTCTTTGCACCAGCTTGAGCTCCTTAGCTCCTTGGGCTATCTTTCAGCAGTGTCGCTCTGGGAGTTAATCGATGGCTGAGGAGAAACAAGCGTGGTTGCCAGAAGTCTGCATTCCTTTGCTTACTCCACACCATGCTCTTTCTTCCTGGCATTGCTCATCAGGCCCACAATAACACTAAGCAGATTTGTAAATAACCAGAGCGAAGGAGGAGAGGGCACTGAGCACCAGAGGATGGGGCAGAGATCAGGCTCTCCCAGGTGGTCAAATGTTTACCTAAAGAGGATGCACCAAAGGTACTTTCTGAGCAAACAGGAAAGCATGGTGGTGGTGGGTGACCACAGGCATCACTAGAGGCCATGCCCAGTATCCTGTCAACCTTAGTGGCTCCTGCCATCTGAGCCAACGGGGCTTCTCTGCTGGAGCCTCCAACTCAGCTCCATCCCCTGTTGTGGCCAGACTGGCTAAGTAAGGGCTGGAAGCCACACTGCCAGTGTCACCCTGCCCTTGTCCAACGGAGGGCACTGCTGGGCCTGGACAGAAGAGCCAAACCAGACAGCCTTAGAGATGGCATAGAAATCGGATGACTGAATTAAAGAAGGGAACAGAGGGAGAGAGATGACAACTTTTGCCTGAAATAAAGTCAATAAGGCCACCCCATAACCCAAATCCCAAACCTGAGTTGTAGCAGTCTGTGCATGACTCGTAACTGCTACTAGGTCTGTAAGTATTTAGGCTAGGGCCACCTGTGCTAGTCCCAGGGAAAGATCTCAAAGAAAAAATAAAGCAAGGTCCCTGAACTAAAAGGCCTTCAGTTGGGTTTTGTTTTATTTTCAATAGCTATTCATGGGTTTCCTGTTGGTTGCAGGAACTCAACAAGCTTTAGCGGTGAGTTTAAAGGAGTTAATGCAGGGAATACAAGGAAAAAATATGAAGAAAGTGACTCTGGGCCTCACACTCAGATCCAGCGGACAAAGAAAAGTGAGGGAACTGGGGTCTTGGCCACATTTCCCTGAACTTCTGAACCTCTCAAGGCTGTGCCTTCGCAGCTACGTCAGAGCAAGGTGGAGAGAGGAAAAAGCAGAAACACTGAAAGTGTCTTTTCCTGTCCACATCCTTGGCTTTTCCCAAAAGCTTTCATATTCCTGAAAAACAGCCTTTGCTTATATTCCATGTGAGCAAAAGCAGACCAAGCCAAAGGGCAGAAAGTGTGCAAAGGAAGGCAAAAGTCGGATGGGTTCTCAACTCTTTGGGGGACCCCAAATCAGTCAAAGGGGTGCCCAGTGAACACAGACACACAGGTGAGAACAAGATTAAATTATGAATGTCTCCAAGGAACAGGAATGCACAGGAGAGGCCACCTCTGGGGTTATCGGAGAGAAGGATTTATAAGCTGGTCATTTAGGATTGCACAGGAACTCACCAGAAGGCAGCAGAGGCATTTTAGGAAAAAGACAGTGACATTCTTAGGAGACTCCAGTGCTAAGTACACATGGCACATTTGAGAAACCATGACCAGCTCTGTGCATCAGGGACGTATGGTGCACAGGATGGGTGCAGATGAGCCGAGGGCAGGAGGTCGGCTCCAAAGCCAGAACTGTGGACTGGGGTGGGGCAGACAGTGTGGGCTTTATCTAATCTGCTTAGCAGTTACTGCAGAATTCTGCAGGGTCTAGGGCAATGCAGCAGACAGGGCCACACAAAACTTCTTCAAGCAGGCTTGAGACAGAAAAGTCCAGTTCTGTACCCACTGCAAGTGCACAGCCATGGGAATGGGCTACTGAGGCAGGAGTGCAACCCAGCTCGGCACTTCCCCCATGAATAGGTTAGCAGTGGTGCTGGGTCTCTTACCCAGGAGTGTTCAAGTCCATGAGACTCACTGCTACAAACCACTGGCCACAGTCCTTCCCAGGGAGTGGGAGAGGTTTGCCTGAGTTGTGGCCACTGCTTCCTGGTCCCCCATACTCCACGAGGATGGACATGGGGGCAGGCATAGAGAGCAGAATCAGAGGGGACGCAAGACAGGGAGAGCCATGGGAGCCGGCAACCATTCGGGGAGGGGGACGAGGTAAACAAGATGTCCCAAGGGAGAGCTGCAGAACGCAATCAGACATGGAGGCCTGGGGATGCTTCAGTGAACTTGGCAGCCGTGGTCCCTGCCTTGGAGAATTAATAGGAACCTGGTACTTGGGGTGCTCTCTGCTGAGGACAATGTTGATACCCTCTTTTCCTTCTAGAACAGTTGTTTAGGTAAATGGTAAGCACCAGAGTTGAAGAAATACAGCCTGAGTCATTTCCCTTCCTCTCTGGATCCACAGCATTCTTCAAGGTCCACCCAGGTCCACCCAGGTTCCTTCTAAAGGAAGCCATCTGTGACCTGCAGCGCTCTGCTCCTCTGCCAGCTCTGCTGCCCTAAATCTCTTTCTGCAAAGCCAGCTGTTCCTGGTCATCTGAGCATATGTCAAGTGTATGCTAGGGCTGCACGTAAGTCCTTCCTGGTCAAGGGTCAGGCCTTGTAGGCTTGGCACTCTAACAGGGTGCCAGGTACACCAGAGCCTCTTGGCGATTCCTGTATGGACACATCCTTTCGGGGGCAGCACTACAGGCATTTGGAAATAACAATCAACAGAGCCCAGGCCCTGATGTGCACCAAGCCCAGTGACATTTTTCAACCCTCAGGGCTCAGAGGGGCCAGGGGCCACCCTTGTAGGAATGCGGCGATTCCATTGAGGCTCTGGAACACACTCACCACATTTCCCTTCTCCCCCACCATCCCCCACACTTTTCATTTTGGTCTCTTCCTCATCCTTGTCGTCCACTGGAGGGAGGAAAAAGAAGCGCGTTGTTCATTCTGGAAACTGTAGGCCCTTGTACAGGCTTTCCATCCTGGCTCTGTTAAAGTTCAGAGTTGTCTGCTCGGGGTCTCACAAATCATCAATAAGATTCTTGTTTAGAACTTTCAAGGCCCACGCAGAGCTGGCCGGTTCAACTGCTCAATTCATTGCTCTGGGCCTGGCGGGGCCCTGCCTCCCAATGACCTCCTCCCCTGGGTTCTCTCATCTTGAGGCAGTCTTGCTTCTCGGTCACTAGGTTCCCAACCATAAATGTCTTCCCAACACACCGAGAAAATTGTCTTCTCAGTTCCCCTGCTGTCTCCTGCACACATTTTTATTTATTCAGCTGCATCTGATGACCCATGAGTGAGCAGG